AGAGTTTTGGAACAGCAAGGGCGTGGTCAGAGGAGGGGAGGCTTGGTCTGGCAAAGATCCTGCACAGAGAATGAATCCAAGGAGCCACAGCAGTGGAAGAATGAAAGCCCTCGACGAGACAAGCAACGATATGAAAGGCTAAAGCAATGAAAGAAACGAAATATGACCGGGAAAGTAAAGCCTCACGTTGCTGAGAGACATGACCGTTGAACTGAGAAGAGGCCGGCGGCTGATGCTTCATCTAAAGTATCGGATACCCAGAAACATTTCGCCTTTGGGACGGCAATGCAGGTCACTGTTACCACTCGTAGACTCAGCATCTTCCCCACAAAGCTTGCGCATCGAGCATGAAGCTAATGCAGGTACTCAATGCTTAAGCTGCGGGCGAACGACCGAGGAAGGAAATGTAATCTTGAAGAACAAGGACCGAGTAGAAATAAGGAATTCGGCCTGCCACGTTTGGACAGATTGACCAAGGTTGGGAGCCTGGATCGGCCAGCCATTTCCGCATGGAGTAAATCAGCCGGACGCAGAGAGTGTGATGGACGACGGTGTCCTGACCAACCGGAGCAATAAGTACAAGGACAAATAACTGTAAATAAATTGCTCCAGATGCGAAGCGTTTCCTGAAGTTGAGGGAGACGCGTTCGCGAAAACATCGAATGGCGGAGCAGGAATGAAATGAGACGAGGCGAGGCGTCGGCCAATCAGATTCCGAGGGACGTCAATACAGAGAATGCACTACTACAATATAGGTTAGTGTACAGCCATGTCATATAAGAGCGAGATTTCACTTTCCGCCTTCATTCGATCCTGCTTCTCTGGTTTTGATTCCTTCGCATCCTCGTCCCATGTCTCGTCAGGTCCAATCCTGCTCTGTTCACTTTCTTGCCGCGACTGGAGATTAGCAAACGCTCTTGTGAATCCTCCGTCAAGCCTCGGTACAGCACACTCTAACTGGTGCCATGCTAAAAGGGTCGACCCTGGCCCATCACATTCCCTAGACTAGCTCCCAACGGGCCTCATCCCAGAAAAGGTATGTATCACCGCTCGACCTTCAGTTCCGAGGCAAAGCAATATATATCTTGTTTCGTGGTCGGGGAAATACCATATTGTACCCCGTGGCTGTGGTCGTTATGCCAAATGAAGTCTGGTGGTAGAAGCTGTGGCTACGGCTCGCAGAGAGGCACACGCTGTGTCCTTCCCTACTACTATTGTGCAAGCCATCTTGATGTTGGATTCAGTTTGTTGGACTTACACTCTATTCTCACTTCCTAGAATTGTGCCTTGTCCATTGGCTTTATTCTTCGGTTGTACCACAATCATTAATATGATTAATCCAGTCAAGATATACACCTCCGACCTTAGCATCAAGATGTTCTGACCCACTAACTTTCCACGTCTTAGATAATGGATTTGTTAAGCTTGGGGTGGGCTGCGGCTTGCGTATCCTTGTTCATAAAGCACTGAACAATTCGTTCATACGGCCTGAGTGTGGACCATTCTGGGCTTCATTCTTTCATATCGACCCTTGTCGCCATTCCCTTCCTCCTCATACCATGTTCTGTTTATAAACAGCATCCAGCATAACGGTCTGTGGGTGCACACTGGGGTTACAGCGACCCCAGAATGCGTGGAGTACAACCCACGTTTCTCTGCAGGAGCTTCGGCCTAGCCAATGCTCAGCTGTCTTCTAGCTCGCTCTAGCAGATACTGTATTCCTATTTCCAATCCTTCCTCTGTCGCTTCAAAATCTCCCGCAGTCCTCAGCAGAACCGGGTTTATCAATGGCAGATAATGTTGGAAGAGCCAGTCCACGGCTAGACAGCCACCCACGCTAGCGACACGTGCCTTGCCTAGGCCCTATATGGTGTTCCAGATATAGCAACCGCCTCAACCTACCGTAACTCGACAACCTATTCTTATTCTTTGACTATTTCGGAAAGGATCATCAAACTGCTGCGTTTGCTAAAGCCATCGAGATGACTGACCAGAAAAAGGACAAGGATACCTTTCACTTCGTGGCGTTTCAAGATCCTTCGAAGGCTGCGGGCCAGAAGTCGTTGGAAAAGTCTCGAGCACGTGCTCACGCCGCCCGAGTGACACATTCGAGGAGAAAAGCAAAGCGCGGACATACCGTGGTCAAATGGATCGTTGAGAGCTCAGGGACTCATGAGAATACCACTTCAAAGTCCAAGCAAGACAAGGTCCAGATAACCGATTTCAAGATCAATCCGCTCTCGTATCTTTCGCAAGACAAGGTCGACCCATTTGAATCGAACCCTCATACGGCATTACCGCGGTATCTGCAGTCAATCCTTGATTATGGTGAGTTGAACTCTAGCCAGTTGATTCTTCACCACGACTGACAAAAGGCCCAAAAAGCCTACGAATGTATACATCCAAAAATAATAACCAACGCCTCGGCCAGTGATGTGTCGGCGGTCAAAATATCCTGGAGACGTATTGGACAAGAATGGCCATTGATGTTCCACCTGCAAGTGGCTTCTGCGGCAAATCTCGTGCGCGCGGGCGCCGATAACGAGCCTTTCCCTCACAACGTCGAGGTTCTCCGACTAAAACACCAAGCTCGAGGGTTAGCTCTGGTGACAAAAGAGCTCCAGAACCTCAAGGGCCCGGCCTCCGATTCATTGATCATGGCCATGATCATGGTGGGAAACCTGACCGACCCCAACCCGGCCCAATTTCCAGCAACATATCGGCTGTCACCCTTGGCCACTGCTCAAAATCTCCATCTCTATGCCAGACTTACCGTTATACCTTCTATGATCCAAGCACTTATGGAACTGGTCATCAAACGTGGCGGGATACAAGCAATGCAACAGTATGGACTTGTACAACTTCTTCAATTGTCTGTTCAAATACACGTCCGTTTCGTGTTCGATTCTTGCTAATGTTGATGCCAGCGCCGACCTGATGGTCAGCACGAAGCTCGGTATGCCGCCTTCTTTTCCGTGGATGTTTCCCACACCCTCCATCCTCATGGGCGCCAAGTATCAACCTGACCACAAAGCTGCGATGATGTCAATGGTGATCGGCACCGGCTTTACGCAATTAGACCAGATCGATATGGATCTGGCAAATGCCCTGAGGACAGCAGGTGAAATCACGGTTGCTCTTGATCACTACCGAGAGCGCCGCCCAAACGCCCCGGATCTGACGGATATCGTCAATGCGGCGAATGCGACTCACCACAAGCTGTTGAGTCTCCGGCCCAGGATAACTCTCGATCCACAACAGACTGACTACTTGTGGAATCTTTGCCGCGTGTCTGGTCTCATCTACAGCGACTTGGTCCTGTTTCCACTGCCACCCACGACCGGAGTCAAACCTCGGCTGGCTGGAGAGCTTCGTCTTGCTATCGATAACTTTGAAATATTCCGGGCGGAAGAAACTGCTTATATTGACCAACGCATCGGAACAGAGGGATACACCTGTTTGGTACTGTGGGCATCGACACTTGGAAGTCTTGCTGCGCTAAACACACCACATCGGCGATATTTTGTTCAGAAAATGCAGGAATACATTGTCCGATGGCCGTATATTATTAGCTGGGATGCTTACACCAGTCTCATGGCCACGTATTTGTGGTGGGACTACATATTCGCAGACCCTTTGGCGGAGCTCTGGAATGAGATCACTCTCTCCCTTACGGATATGGCGCACCAAAGCCAAAGCTCTGTGTTTCCGCAATCGACACCCAGTCGCAGCCCTTCGACATCGGACGTTTTGACGATCCTGCCACTCCAACAGAAAATCGCGACCGACTTTCAGCATATGGCCGGTCATGGCATAGCAACCTCGAGTTCTGGAGGATAATCTTGACAGGTGTCGTGGAATGATCGATGAAGACTCTGGTTTGATTTCAAGGCACCAGTGTCTGTATCAAGCATTTACTGCTTCGATGATGCTGTCTACAACAGATCAGCATGGCTGAAGAAAGGGCAGAGTCCGTTACATTACCTACACATCCGAACTTTGTTGCTTCACCATCATCTTCTGCATGAGGAGTGGGATAGCCTGGTAATTATCCCGACAAAGAAACCCGAGTGACATATTGTTATACGCGACATGGAACAGCAGCGCTTTCGAGATGACTGCGACATAGGCGGTCAGCTTTGAGACGCAATACTCAGCTGACCGATCGGCGTTGAACACCGACCTCGAAGTGGTTATATTGGTGCAACCGTCTTCTGAGCCTCCTCCCCTACTTGGGACTGTTGGAAGAAGTGCCCCAAGGGGTTTTTACTTGTCCCCCATCGGAGCACTACGGCACACCATCCGTGCCCTTACATCTGGAAATATTCTTCCAGGGAGGAAGAAAAAGGCAAAAAAATCATAAGCCAACCCGCATTATATATACCACCGGTTTACAGCCACTTGATCGTTTCAGCCTCTCCCCCGAAATCCATCAGCCACTTCCCCGCCTCTGCCAGACCACCATACGATTGCAGCACTATTACAGGCGTCTCCGCCTCCTCTTCGACCTAGAGCCCCAGTTCATTTTCGGACTGCATATGAGTGGACTGTGGGTGCATCGCGCTTTAGCGAACGGTTTGGGCCATTAGAGACCAGAACATGTCCCTACACGCAGACTTCCAACTTGGGGTTTAGAGCCGGCTCGGCTGAATCCGTTTCTGTGTATACGCGGGTTGATGTTTCGATGTGTGTGTGTGTGGGTGTGTGTGTGTGTGTGTGTGTGTGTGTCTCTATGCCGGACTGTGCGCCTAGTGCTCCGTCGAGGCAAAGGACAAGGATGACGTATGTACAAGCACATACATACGTACATGCAATACAATGCAATGCTGAGGGTCCTATCTGTCTGTCTGTCTGTCTGTCTGATTGTCTTCAAAGCCCTACTTCCCAAGTCGTGTTGGATGTTTTCAAGGTAACGGTGCCACATTCAACCCTTTAAAGGCCTCCCACTTTCATCCAGCATCCAGCATTCACAGTCAGCCCGAGCGCTCGCTCTGTTCAAGCTACAGCCCCAGATTCCCAAAGCTCCACGTAGGTTCTGTTTCTCTATCTGTCTCGGTCTCGGACTCGGTCTCAGTCTTGGCCTGGGCGTTCCCGTTCCCGTGCTCGTTCCACGTCCCTTCGGTGGTGGGGGTATCTATCTCCGCCTTGTTTTCCTGTGCGTCATTACTGTTTTCCTTGCCTTCGTCTGCGGCGGGGAAAGGACGACTGACCTGCGCGGTGGTCGTTGTACGAGGTGACGATTGAACCACGAGTGACGCCAGCTCGGCACTCGACCGTGCCAGTCCTCGCTTCGTAGATCCTGTCTCAATCCTCCTCGGAGAAAATTCCGCCAATATGGACTTGTCTTTTCCGCTCTCGTCCTTGCTGGAGGGAGATTGTTCGTGGTGCCGTTCTTCGACGGAGCTTTTTGCTTTGGGTATAGATTCCTTCCGAGGATCATTCATGTCGTTGTATCTGACAGCGCTTGTGCCTGCCCTCTTCTCCTGCAGAGCCCTGTACTCTGTCGTGTTGAGGACGCGGCCATCGCCTAATGAGATGCGGATTGAGGGAGCGTGCGAGGAAGGGGTGCGCGGTCCTGATTGAGACCACCGCCCTGCTTGCAAAGTCGTCTGGGATGGAGCATCTTCCGTTTCTGATCGTTTGATGCGTTCCGTAGGTGGTCCTGAGGTGGCACTGCGAAGAGAGCAAGGATGATTCGGTGGGATCGATGCATGTGTAGGTCTTGGGCCATGAGAGGAAGGCATCGGTGAGCTCATGCACTCTTCAGACAGTTCTTGACGAGTGGCGTCATCTGCCTGGCACGAGGGAGTTGGGTGGGAGGCTTCGTGACCTGGTTTCTGTGGGCGACGTCCAGGTCTTTGGATAACCGGACCCCGTGTTTGTCGCTCTAGTCTCAGTCCTTTTCTGTCATTTTCATACCTTGGTGTGCCCCGGGTAGGCCTCCGTTGTACCTGAGTGCTCGTCTGCAAATTGTCTGGATGCGATTGCGTAGGTGGCCGAAAGCCGTCAGTCCCATGCTGGTTCCGGTTTTGAGGTGATCGAGGATACGGCCAACGAGGTTGATCTCGGGGGGATTCAGGGTGACGAGGCTGACAACGGACTGGCCAATTTGGGAACAAATGAGGAGGTTGCATGTTATCAAGATATTCCTCATCCTCAGTAAACATGACGAAACTATTGTGAACAGCGATACCACCTTGGGATTCATGGTGGTCCGCGCCGCGTCCGCGACGGTTGTGCGCATCCTGATCATTGTCCCACTGGCGACCTTTTTGGGTGCAATTGGGATTACCTCCTCCACGGAGCGATCCTGTTGGGCGGCGCGGTAGAGAAATTTGATCTTGAGCTTCGGCCTGCTTCTGCGCTACTCGCTTGCGAAGAGCGTTACCAATCCGTGGAAATGGTTGCGAATTCGGAGTGTCGTGCAAAGAGCCGGCACAAGAAGTATTTGTGTCTAAAGGCACCTGTTCGACTCCCGCGTCGGCGCTGGAGAGAGTGGCTTTCTTGTCCGAATGCTTCTTGGGCCGCAAAAGCCACTTTCTGAGTAGAGGAAAAAAGCTTTCTGTGCTTCTTGCCGTCCGCTTGAAGAGAAGTATTGGCAGGAAACGGCCATCCTTCGTTTGTCCCGTGGACGTCCTTAGGACCCGGCGCTGGTACTGGTACCGATTCTTGATCTGTGTCATCCCAGTTAACCTGTTGCGGCGGTGCGGTTGTGGTCGTATCGTTGGAGGTCTCTTTCAAGGAGGAGTTTGCATGTTCTGCTGGGACGTGGTCAGAAGTTTCCTCTGGCGGCGCTGCAGTTAGTCTAACCCGCTTCCTCCACTCCCTCGAGTAGATGGAGCAAGGCGGGAGATTTCTGGCCGGTCGCTCGCACCGACCAGAGAACTTGATATGTGTTTCACTCGGGTCTATGGGACCAGACGAGCTACACTCGTTCTGTCGCCGTCCGCAATTGTGTCCGTCCTCCCTTGTGGCGAGATGATCAAGATGCTCTCGGCGTTGATAGGGCAATCCATCTGAAAGAGCCATTCCTATACCCTCGTTGGTGTCACTTGGAGTCAGTGAACTCGTCTTCGAATCATCCCGGGCAACAGGGCTTCCAACATCAAAGCTCAAGTCAAGTTTCGAGTCCCTGAAGTCGAAATCGAAGGCGAGATCCGCCACTGAAGGTGTTGAGGGCGTTTCGGATGGGCAATCTCGATGCGTGCCTCGTAGATAGTGCTCTCTGGTCCGGGTAAATCGATCCATTTTTTCTGCAAGATCGAGAGTCTCCAGCTAGATCCGTTGTAGCTCGCAGTGAATCCTGTTCCAGAAAGCAACCAGGAGGATGTCCAGAGTCCAGACGACAAGGTACGATGGTCCGATGACGGTGACAAAAGACAAAGCAGATTTGAAAAAAAGGAAGATCAGCAGCAAGGAACAGTCACTGTGAGCTGCTGACCGTGTCGTTGAGGCTCCCTTCAGGCCGGATATTGTCTGGGTCATCAAAGATACGAGCTGTTGATCAGGAACCGGCAGAAACGTTAGCTGTAGAGTTCGGAAATGGAATGTTTACTCCAAGCTGGCTGTGTGGACGACTGAAGTGACACCGTTGATTAAAGAGACAGGTGAAACATAGTGAATACCGGCTTGTAGTGTCAACCAACACGATGAAAATGACCAATTTGCTGCGCTCAATAATCCCTCATCGATTCAACAGTGACAGTCAAACTGCTGGGTTACTTCCAGCTTCTAGACGCTGATTGTCTTGAAAACTCCCAGACCGCTTCCACCTGTGACCATGACCGTGCCGGGCATTTGTGGATGCCAGTGCAGTTCTTTGCCGTCTTCAACATGATGAATAAACAGTAATTGCGGAGGGACCTTTTCGGCACCTTCGCCCAAGCCCAAGCCTGCTTCTCTACCATATTCCTCGTCATCAAGCTCGACTGCGAGATCCCACAGAGTTGCAGTGTTGTCGGCGCAAGCAACAGCCACCACGCTGTCGTCCGTTGGGTGCCATTCTATCGAAGTGATCGGTTTCTTGTGGAAGTGAAAGTTGGCAACGGGACTTGGTTTGACCTGCGAACCGGGTGGCGCCCCTGACTGAGGCTTCCACTGACGCAAGTCCCATACCGCCCATTCGCCGTCATCAGCCCCAGTAGCGAGTAGATGGAAGGTCTGGCGCGACCACGACATGACGTTGACATCGGTGTTGCTGATCTTCACGTCCACAGCTGGCTTGCGACTCTTACTCCGCGCATCCCACACCTTCACAGTGCCATCGGAGCTTGCAGATGCAAACACAAATTTCTCATTAGGTGACCATTGAAGCTCTTCTACTGCGTCGGTGTGGCCGACAAATGCCCTGGTGTCGGTTACCCAGCCACCACCCTCGGTGCGTTGTGTGCTGAATATTTGTCCAGCATTGTCACCGGACAGAAGTCGGCCGTTTGGATGAGAGGAAGTTGGTGCCCAATCTAGTGCGTAGCCTTCTGTTTTGTGCATTCGCAGGGTACTGAGCGGCTTCGAGGCGTTCGGAGGCAGTGTGTAGCCAGGTGTGGAGAGGGAATGGAGATATGGTGAGACGTCATGAATCAGAACCTGACCATTTTCTAGGGATGTCGCTGTCAATGTCTGAGGTATTTGAGTCACGTCGGCATTGGCAGACGCTGGCTGGAATGCTCTGATTCTATTGGTTGTGCTTGGGAGCGGTATCGATCTCGACTCAAGCACAGGGTCAGAGGAGCCCTCATCGTCACCGTCATCGTCGCTGTCGCTCTCCGAGTCCGTCTGATTGCCACGATCCATCTTGGACAGACTGCTCAACCGCAAAATGTACAACTCATTCTCTTTGGCGCGTGACGACTCAGCCTGAGTCCCCGCAACCGCATAGACTGTTCTTGGATATTGCTTGCGGTCATCTCCCAAGTTATCTCGTACAACGTCAAAGGACAGACACGGCCACGTCGTCGACATCAGGTGAAGCATCTCGTAAGTGGAAGGATCCGGTGTCAGCGACATTCCAGGTTGTAGTATCGACCGGCCTGGGATAAATGTCTGCTCCTTTGTGTCAACATCCATAGCATCTTGCGCCTGCTCCGCTTCTCTTTCAGCGTCTGGTCGCCCGTCAACCCCCGCCTCCATGATCTCGTCTTCCGACTCGTATTCATCTTCGAATTCATCTTCAAAGTCGAGGGTGGGGTCACCGTTTGCGCTCGAGTCTGGCCGTTGCCCTGCCTTGAGGGACTCTAGGTTTTCCTGGTTCTCGGCGCTTCTTTTCGACATCTTGGGCCTTGGGGGTATTTCTTCACGGTGTAAAAATTGAAGCAATGCGTCGTAACGGCTCAGCAGAACTACATTTTTGGACTCCGCACATGAATATCGAAATTATTTTTTTCTCCAACAGCATGCTTATGTAATATAGTCACGTGAAACGGTGGGACGTTTGATGCGCAAACACTTCGTGTACCTTTGCTTCTAGGTGTGTCACGGTGTATGTGAGTTACTCCAGAGATTCATACTGTACTTGTCTCCCGGCATCCAGAGGCCCTTCCGGTGGAAACCCAGTTCCAGGTAAGAGTCGAGACATAGCCGCCTCTTTACCGCCTAACCACGACGGCTAATCCACGAATAGAGGATGAGCCTCGGCTCTTCTAAGGGCCCGCCCCCAGATATGGAGATCCTCCAGACAGCTAAAGTCTCCCGCACTTCATACCTACGGAATTGAGTGCTTAGTTTCGACGGTAAAAGTGCTTGCTCTTTACATTGTCTAGAGGAGGAGAATAATAGTTGAGTCGACACCTGCCTCTGCGCCTCGAACCAGGTCAACTCCTGCTGTGCCATACTCCCATCTCGCCGCCGACCGAATCTGCGACCCCGAAAATCCGCTCTCCATTCCTCGGTCCTCGAGTCTTCCACAGATATAAAAGACAATGACGGCTGCACCCAAGAGACGCCTCGCGGCACTGTCCAAGCAACTGGCGGAAGGCATACCATCTGAGGGCACCTTTGAAGAGATTCCTCGTGTCAGACACGTCGCAGAAAGCTCAACAGGCCCAAGAGTCAAGGGAAAGGTTGCCATCGTGACTGGTACGCCCAAATCACACAACACTTGACGTGCTCAAGCCGTGTCTAAGAAACTAATTCTCATGCTCTCTGATCTTTAGGATGCAACTCTCCCATCGGCATCGGTCGAGCGTCTGCGCACCAATATGCCCAGAACGGCGCGAAGGCGGTCTACATCTGTGACTATGATGACAAGTATTTGGAAATGCACAAGCGGGAAATTGCGTCCTTGTACCCCAAATGCGAGGTGCACTGCGTGAAAATGGACGTCGGAGAGGAATCACAGGTCAAAGCAGTGGTGGACCAATGCCTGGCGAAATACGGCAGACTGGACATCATGTTTGCAAATGCTGGCATTACCGGTGTCCCCAATACCTTCGAACATATCTCGGCCGAGGCGTTTATGAACACAATGAGGGTTAATGCACTGGGTGTGTTCCTCTGTTTCAAATATGCCGCCATCGCAATGCAGAAAACGGGTCCCGAGAAGAAGTACCCTGGAGGCAGCATCATCGGCACTGCGTCGGTGGCTGGGCTCCGGTCGAATGCGGGCGGCACAGACTACAGTGCAAGCAAAAGTGCAGTGGTCTCGTTGGCGCAGACCATGTCCTACCAATTAAGTGGAACGGGCGTAAGGGTGAATGCCATCTGCCCAGGTGTGATCGAGACCGGAATGACCAAACCCATGTATGATGCAGCCCGGACCCGGGGCACCGAGAGGAAGATTGGCCAGCTCAATCCGTTGCAGAGGGGCGCTGTAGCCGATGAGGTCGCCAGAGTCGCCTTGTTCTTGGGGAGTGACGAAGCTAGCTACGTCAATGGTCAGGCGTGGGCCGTGTGTGGTGGGCTGAGTGCTGGACATCCTTTTGTTCCTGGTAAACTCGCTTGAAATTCATAGATCTGGCATAGTAGAATCAGCCATTCAGGTCCTTTTGAAGGACCTCCAGAACTTTCGTCTCATCAATGTTGTCCAGAGCTGCAAGCTTTTCCTCATCTACTTTGTTCCCCGGGGAATAGGTTGGCAGGTTGATCGTCACTTCCGCCCCATATTGTTCGTTGTACCTTTCCTCGGTAATAAATGGAGCAGGCAAATCCTGAGGGGCTTCCTGTCGAACATAAAAAGTCGGAAACTCCAGAAAGGTCTGGTTGCGGAGAACGTCGACCAATTTCGACTCCGGCGCAACAGGAATCAGACATTTCACTTTTGAAATTGTGTTTGGCTTGAAAAGATAAAACTTGAGATTATGTGACGAATGCGGAGTTTCTGTGCGTTGTGGATTTTCCCGTGTCGGACCATGAGTCGTGTCGGTAGCCTTCTGATCAGTGACGAGTCCATGTACAGGTGATTCGGATTCTCCTTTTGCATGCCCAGTACATGGGGTTCCCGCGTTGACCGCTCCGGCGGTGACAGGTTGAGTAGATTGATCGGCAGGCTGAGGGGCTGAGACGGACGTTGTTTCAGCGTCACTTCGCTTGCGTTTCTTGCGGTTGACGGCGTGTTTTCCAAATGCACTCAGAAAGGCTTCCTCAACGGTCCTCGACTCGAGCACGTTGCAAACTCTCTTGTCGCCATCGTAGCATAGCCATTCCGTCGTCCACATGATGCACTTTCCGTGGGCCGCCCAGTGTGACTTGTTCTGTTTGTTTCTCGACAGCCCTTGAGGGGCCTTGATCAAACATATTCCTCTCTCTTCGAGCTCGACATCAAACTTGCGTCTGGCCTCTTGCCCCTTCCGTACGACACCACTGGGCACCAGATCGATGCCCTTGCTCTGCGCAAGTTCGTCCGCGCGTGCCAGGGATCTTTCGACAGTAGTGATGAAGTTGAAGTCTTGATCGACAGAGGCTGGTGTGGCCAGATCAGCTCGCTTCCGGTAGGCAGTAGGGTCTCGAACGCCTGAGCACTGAGCCCAGGTCTTGTGGCGCTTGACGCATGGCAGGGAGCATGTGTGGACGCCACATCGAGGACAAGTGTATTTGATGGGATTGATGTGGCTGTCCAAGATGCAGGATTTAGTCGTGGTCCAAAAACAGCAGCAGATTCAAGCTTACCAGATAGCACAGAGATCGGTCAACAACACGTCACTTCCTGTTTCCTGCATAGCATCGTCAAAACTAACAAGGCATAGCACTGCAGAAGCATGTAGATGTGTAAGTTATTGACGGATATCACCAAGATGGTGCAGGATTTCCTTCGTCTT